TCTTCAGGATCTTCAAGCTCTCCCGGCACTCCAAGGGGCTGCAGATCTTGGGGAAGACGCTCCAGGCCAGCATGAGGGAGCTGGGCCTCCTCATCTTCTTCCTCTTCATCGGGGTGATCCTCTTCTCCAGTGCTGTCTACTTTGCAGAGACTGATGACCCCGACTCCCTCTTCACCAGCATCCCCGATGCTTTTTGGTGGGCGGTGGTGTCCATGACCACCGTGGGCTATGGGGACATGTATCCCATGACAATCGGTGGCAAGATCGTAGGCTCCTTGTGTGCCATCGCGGGTGTGCTCACCATCGCCCTCCCTGTCCCTGTCATCGTGTCCAACTTCAACTACTTCTACCACCGAGAGACGGATCACGAAGAGCAGTGCCAGTATACCCACGTAACCTGTGGCCAGCAGCAGTCACCCTTCTCTGAGCCCAAGAAGGGGGACAGTAATCAGTCTCTCAGCAAATCTGAATTCCTGGAAGCAGAAGACCTGGAGTCCCTGAAATATTCCAACTTCATTCCTCCCAACAACCAGGGTTACAAAGAGAAGAAAATGCTGACAGAGGTGTGATCGGTTTTGTTACCCTGGGTCCAGACAGAGAGCTGCGAGCTGCTGCACAGCCGTCTTCCTACTAGCAGCTGTATCTATTCAGCATTACATGCCAGACTGTGAATTGTGATACTGTAAACAGAGTGATTGTGGTAATGAGCTCTTCTGTCCTGATTTGCTGTTTCTCATTACCGTTTGCAGCCAGAAATGTTCTTGCTTTATTCCGTGGAGTGCTAGCTGTCATCTCCCACTCCCTCGTGGATTTCTTTCTCTGCTTTTGAAGACTGCTTTAATCCAATATTTGCTCTGAAACCTAACCTTTCTACTCTGCTGGCAAAGAAGGCCTTGCAGGCTGAAGGATTCAGTGGGGAGTAAAGCGTTAAAGGGGCTACCAACCTCTGGCTCAAGCTGTGCCCTTTCAAGTTGTGCCCTTAGTTCCCATGCCAGCACAGTGCCCTTGGCTGTGGGATCAGTCATGCCTGCCCTGCCTTTGCCTTTGAATAAGGGAAACGCTCTAGCCAGCATCACAGCGCGTTCTGCAGCTGTAGGGGAAAGTCAGCGAGCAGATGCCTGCCTTCCTTGTAGTCCCTGGCATGCTAAAGATCCTCTTGGTTTGTGTTTCAAAAAAGGTGCATAGATCTAAAAGCTCTTCACTATTTGTGACCGTATACCGTTTATCGAAAACGGGCTTAAAGAAATTAACAGGCTTGGTGAACATTCCCTGTGTTGAGCTTATTTCAGCCTTATTTATGCCAGTGCCCTGATGTTAATTGGCTTTTATAGTACCAACTTAATCTGCACAGTGGTAAGTGTCTTCTGATGCAAGGCACATTTGAGTAAATTCATTTGTTATCGCTGCAGTTTATCTCCACACAGTAGCGTTTAATGAGATGTACTTTATGCTTCAGATACCCAGTTCTGTATTCAGGCATGTGAGAGCAGTTGACTCCACTGCGTTCTTATTACAGCGTTTGTGTAAGGGAGGGAGGTTTGCATGTTGGTATTCTGTTGACATTGCTGACAAACCCCAGCCACAGACAGCTGCACCTGTGCTGTCTGAAGATTGCACTGATTTAGCGGGTCACAGGCATAAATTGCCCCGGGTGTGTCAACATTTGGGATTTAGGCTGGAATGGATACAAACTTCCCTAAGCCATCTGGCCAAACCCAACAGCACGCCCCAGACCTTTCAGATGAGGGGAGAAACAGCTGGCCTTGGAGAGATGCTTTTGCTGTATTACCGATCTAGCCAGTTCTTGGTATTTCGTGGATAGAAGGCACAGCAGTGTATTTTGCATGCACTAGGTTTTGTGAGAGCGACTTACGCTAGCAATGCCAAATACATCGCTTGGCCTGCAGTGCTGTGTTTGCCGAGGGACCAGAGACTTACATCTTAAGATGCACATTTTGCTTCCCAGATATTTTCTTTTTTTTTTTTATCAGCTCAGCCTTACACCTAACTTTAAAATGTTCCAAATGCTGCCAGTGGGTGAGAAGGAGAAATGGATGCTTTCAGATTCTATTGGCAAATTTTCCTGCTAGGAAAAGTCTTTCTTGTTTTAAATCTAAGTGTATATTCTACATTCACATGTGTGCATGTGTATGAAAGCAAAGGCAGCCATTAATGCCTTGCATCATACCATATGATATGCATATTAGAATTTACTACATATTGCATGTGACACATGTAATACATAAGCCATACATAATATCAAGATGCAAAATATATGAAATACATTTTATGTATATGTATATATTGTGTTTCTCAACCATAAAGCTAAGAACACTAAAGACATATACTTTAATGTAGTCAGAACTGTCTATAGAACTGGTTGTGAGATGGGATCTGTTTGCATCTTCGTTACTCTGCTTGTGTTTTATCGTCTTGAGATCTGGCTCCGTGCCTAGAGTGCTTTTATTGTGGCCTCTCCTCATCTGGGCCCTGATCATATGGTAGAAGTTGTTTGTGTAGATCCTAACAGCTGCATTTCTCCAGAGCCCCGTTGTCTTCTCAAAGGTTTTTAATGTACAGGGATCTCCCTTGGGGTCAGTGCTTGTGCACCGTTAAGCTAAAACCTCTGTTCTTTCTCTCTCTGAACAGCAGCAAAATGACACTTGTCTCAGTTACTCCAGGTCAGTCTGGGAGACACAAGTGTAATGTGGTGAGGGCTCTAGAGCTGAGAGAAGTTTGCCTGAATACATAGGTGCCTAATTCCACTTTGGTTCAGTGGGACTGAGGCAAATGTCTGTGAAGGTCTGGGTCTTGGAAGCCATTCTGCATCCCTTGAAGCATGTAACCAGACAGTGGGTAAGTAATCCTGGTGAAAAGTGGACTGAGGAAGGTTCAGCATGGTGGCATCTGTCTTGATTTTGTGTAAAAGGTTGTCTTGGTCATTGATTTAATTCAGTAAAAAGCTGGGTTTTTTAGTTGTGTTTCAGGGTCACTATAATGAAATCTTTTCTGCAAGTGTAAGAGAGTGACTCTTGAAATTTTGTGATGTTTTAGCAGATGCTCTAGAAACTATCAAAAGAACCTGCTGTTTAAGAGGGATGTTTCAAGGCTGCTGCTGTCTCCCAGCAGAATGTCCAAGTTTGGGGTTTTTTTATGCCTGTGTCTGTCAGCTGATAAAAGTTTCCCAAAAGCAAGATATAAAAAACCCAGGCTAAGCACAAGTTCAGGAGGAGGCATGAGACATACAGAGCCTACGTCAGAAAATTCCCGTGCCCTTGGGCCTGACCCCGTTGCCCCTGCCAGGCAGAAGCCCTCCCTGCTCAGAACAGGTTGTTCTCCCAACCAGCGTGACAGGAGGCATGGAGGCTCCAGCAAAAAAAAAAAAAAAAAAAAGATGTAAGGCAAATGATTGTTGGCATAATCCCAATGTGTCTTATAGAGATACTCTTGTAAAGAGATTTCCTGCTCTCCGGTGAAATTCAGCAGTGAGTTTCTAGCTGGAGGGTTGCTGCACAGAGACCCGTGCACGCAAGCACGTGCATACACAAAGCCCCGGTGTGCGAAGGAAGGCTGTTGCCAACAGACAGCTTTGTGCTGTTTTTTGCCATCGGTGCTTCTCATTTCTGAAAGGAAAGTGCAAGTGAAAGTGTGTACAACAGGAGTGGTGTTTGCTCCCTGGGTTTTCGGTGTTAGAGTTAAGAGAAATACAAAAAGCCAACAGAAGCTTGGAAACGGTAACCTAGGGACTTTCATCTGGGCATGTAAATCCTCTGAGCATCACCTGAAAAGCAAGGCAGTCATCAATAATACTGTACATTATAGAACTTCTAGAATTTGACATTTTTATTAAGTAGTCCTTGGGAGTTTTTTTAAGTGGCTGAAGTGATGTAGTGGCACTTGTGCCATTGACTTCACAGAGGACTGGTGTCACCAAATCACAGAGATGCTTTCAAAAATCTTACCTCAAGTTCTCTGCTCTTATTACTCACTCCTGGATGTTCAAAATACAGATCTGTCTGTCTGTCTAGCTGTTTCCTTCTGAAGGCAGAGCACATCCTCATGAAGCAAAGTAGGCACCTCCAGGGACTTGTTTCCATAACAACCTCCCAGACTACTCTCTACCCTGTGATTTTGGCTACATGCAAAAGCATTCGTTGAATATTTTCAGTTCTCAGATACTAGTACAGTATCTTTACAGCTGTTTTCTTTGCTTATGGAAGACGATCCTTATGTCATGTAGGACTGCCCTGTCCAACTCCAGGCAGACAGTTATCAGCATTTGAAAGCAGAGAGTGCAAACCAGGAGACGGGAAGGGATTTTATCTGTATATCCTTGCACACGAGACATGGGGAATGTGTGAAGGACAATCTGAGCACTCACAGTCAAGGAGCCGAGGGCAACTGGCCTGTGAATGTTGGGTCATCTGGGTGCCTGGTGACAGTGAAATGCAAGCTAAAGCATTGCATTAGACGAATCAGAAACGTATCTTTCAACAATCTTGCTAGGAAGTAGTTTTGCTGCAGAAACTGTCTTTCAGCAATCTTGCTAGGAAGTAGTTTTGCTGCGGAAGAGACTATTGTTCCTTCCTGAACCCTTGGCTGATCTGTGACAATTGGTTACCCAGATAATTTTCCCACAGGATGTTTTGCACCAAAGCAGGACAGGGAAGTAATCGTCTTATTGAAGGTGGAGAAGGAAGGAAAGGAAGAATTTTACTGAGGACACCTTTTTGTTTAATCTGCAACTCATCGACCACATAAAAGACTGTAAGCTCAAAGACCTGTTTTGCAGTATTTCAGTCTGCGTTACTGGTGGATTCCTGCACTTACCTCCAAGATGAAATTCTTATTCTCCTGCTATTTGGAAAATGTTGCAGTTTGGGATTTCTGAGCAGTTTGCTGTTTTGGGCTTGTTCGTTTTGATCCAGCTTTCATGGATAAGAGTTCACAGCTACAGGAGCTGTGGGGATGAAGGTGACTGGACCTGGTGTTCTCTCCTGGGCCGTCTCGTTCAGTGTATCCCAGTGTAGATAAAGAAGAATGAGTACAAAGGAAGTTCAGGGCAGCAAGATACAGGGTAAGGACTGAAGTGTCCATACTGTGATGGAAAGAACAGCATCAACCCTCACCCCTACAAGCAAAGGAACAAACAGCATCATCATCTGCTGCTATAGCGGAAGTAGGTAAGGTTTCTTTTTCTTCTATGAAATTAATGACTAAGAGTTTCTTGCAATTAATGAGGAAGGATTTCCTAATTGAGATTTGCAGCCTAAAGGGAGAATCTGGTTCTAGGAGGAGAAAGAAAGATAATTATAAACTACAAAAATATAGTATGAGCCAGATCCTCACCATCTGCTGATTCAAGTTGGCAAAATTCCATTTAGTACAACCACCTTGGTTTGTATTGGGCTCCAACTTCAATCTTCTGCATCAAGTCAAAACATATACTATTTGTTAAAATACCTCTTTTGTTTGTTTGTTTGTTTTTTCCAGTTTGTTCTTTTATTAAGGTCCTGTTTACATCAGGGAAAGATCGCAGATTACAGCAGGAA